CGGCCGTGCAGTGCTTTCTGCATTCTGCTGAGGTTTCTTTCAGACTCGGTGAATTATCTTGATTATAATTATCAAAGCCTCATAATAATTTCTATTATATATATATATATATATATATATATATATATATATATATATATAATATATATCCAATTCATGGGTGATTCAAAACGAAAATCATTATGTTTATGCAGATAGTAAAATCTTTGTTGACCTGAAAATAACTTTTCCATGAAATTCTTCGTTTGAAAGTTGTTTTATCCTTCTGAATTTGTATAAGAAAAATTAATAACATTTACAGATATGCATGAATAAGAGAAAATCATAGAGAAATTGTGTTTAAAATACATAAAATCAACCTTTCTATTGAACGTTCCTCATGGCCCAATCGGACCAAGGCATTTATATGACGGTTCCGTATAGATTATTTCACCGAATATATGTGTTCATTACCATTTTAAAGAATATATTTTTTGTGGACAAAATCAAGATATTTTTCTGGTTAATTTTTACTCATTTTATATCAAAGACCTACTCTAATAACAGACTTATTAGATTCCACCAACTCCTCATCAAGACCTTACTAATTTAGATCTTCGTTTATGCCCTAGGATTAAAATTATAGCAGATTTTTAGGTTCGTTCGAGATCAATTTTCAGCTTTTAAATGGTGCTAATAATTAATTTAAGTCTGCAAATTTTGAAATGAGGTACTATTTTTATTCTAAGAAAATATTTCAGTGCGACTAGAATCTTTTTTTGTGGAGAGGAATATAGTCTGAATCAGTGAATTCATTGCTAGAAATGGTAGAATTTAAATTGCTTTCGCAAAGTGCAAAGATATCTGGCGACTTATTCAAGAGAAAAGATTCCATGCTGCCGAAATTGGAACAGATAACCAGGAACATTGGAGAAAGAAAGGCTGTACGTGGTTAGGTGATTTTTTTTTTTTTTTTGCTTACTGGTTTGCACGTGTTTCTCGTCATCGTTTTTTGTCATAACGAGTTTTGTTTTGGAGAGAAAAAAAAAGGCCAACATAATTATCACTCTCAGTCGCCAATGGCAAAACAAACTAGGCCAAACGTGACTGAAGCCAGAACGTAATGTCGCCTCAGAGTTGCCCCCATCCCGTAAATACGTAAGTAGGCACCAACCCCATGCGTGACATACCACTACGTGATGTCTGATATTATAGTATTACAATATATATATATATATATATATATATATATATATATATATATATATATTCGACTCTCCCGTCGAATTCGACGTATGAGGATCAAGCAGATCAGTTCCCAGGAAACCGACAGCCCGACAACGGCACATGAGATTTGATTCTAGTGGTGAAGGTTTCGTGCAGGACCATCCACACTTTTTGAAGGGACGAATACAGAGGCCTGGTGCACTACGTGCCACAAGGTCCCCAAACGACCCTCCGCAGGTTTTGAATTCAGAGTTGTACTTCTCCTAGACCAGTTGTCATCCAAGGCTATAGAACCCAGTCTGTCCTGCTATTTACCCATAGCTGGAGGGAGAAGAACAGGATTCACCCTTTTCCCAAGGGTATTAGCACGTAAGTGAATGTAATGGATTCGACATCCATTAAGCATGGCACGTGGAACTAGAACAGTCTACCCCAGTGAGTGAAATAAAGGGTTCAATTCGACATTCCAACCACCTGAAGAAGCCCGGAGCGTACAATTACGTTGTAATAAATATGGCGACAAAGATGAGGACAATAGTCCGAACAATGTAAATAGGTATATTAATTTCTTTAAAAAAAATGGCCATGATTAACCTAAATCATTTATTCAAAGTATCTCCGATTCTGAATGAAAACAATTTTAATAATAATGAATTTAACATTTTTTCCGGTGTTGCCTTTCGGGAAATGTTTCCACTGAAACAGAAAGAAAAATTGTGAATATTTATTTGTCCAGAAACCAATGTTACATTTTAGAGACGTAATATAAATCAGCTGTGAATTTACCAAAGATTTCAGTTAATTTTTCTCAAGAACAGCCACTTACGATATTAACATACGGATTACTATCCACGTTTTTGAAATTCTTATCACAGCGTTTCAGCCTGGATTCATGAACAAACAATTTAAAGCATTGGTTCATGAATCTGATGACATATTAATTGTGAGTTCAATCCCTGGGCAGGGCAGTGAGTACTTTGACTCATTGGCTCGAGCAATAACCGATCAGTACTAAAAATCAGAACCAGAGATATCCCGTGACATAGGCAATCGAATGAGAACAGTCTAACCCCGTAATTTAAATAAAGGGTTCATTTCGGAATTGCTTGAATATATCGATAAGGGTAACCTACAGAGCGAGCAATAATTGAAACAGTATAAAAATAAGAACTAGACGAGATATCCCTAGACATGGACCGTGGGACAAGAACAGTCTACCACCGTAGGTTCAATCCCTGGTTGGGATAGTGTGCAATGTCTAAGTAGTACTAAAAATAAGAACGAGATATCCTTAATATGGGCAGTGGAACAGGAACGGTCTACCTTCGTAGATTAAATAATGGCTTATGTTCGATCCCTAGGGGGGACAGTCTGTACTATGACACATTGGAAACAAGGCGAGTATTAACTGAGCAGTACTAAAAAGAAGAACTATAATAGATATAGACATGAGCAGTTGAACGGGAACAGTCTATCCCCATAGATTAAGTCATGTGTTCAATTCGGAATTCCCTAAATATATCAATCCGGGTAACCTACACAGCGAGCAATAAACGAGCAGTATTAAAAATAAGAACTAGACGAGATATTCCGAGACATGGGCAATAGAACGAGAACAGTCTGCTACCGTAGATTAAATAAAGTGTTCAGTTTGGAATTCCTGAATATATCAAGACGGGAAACGTACAAGACGAGCAATATCTGAGCAGTACTAAAAATAAGAACTAGACGAGATATCTCGAGACATGAGCAATAGAACGAGAACCATATGCCACCGTAGATTAAATAAAGGGTTCAGTTTGGAATTCCCTGAATATATCGATCCGGGTAACCTACAGGGCGAGCAATAAATGAGCAGTACTAAAAATAAGAACTAGACGAGATATCCCGATACATGGGCAGTGGAAGGAGAACAGTCTGCCACCGTAGATTAAATAAAGGTTTCAGTTTGGAATTCCATGAATATATCGATCTGGGTAACCTACAGTGTGAGCAATAAATGAGCACTACTAATAATGAGAACTAGACGAGATATCCCGAGACATGGGCAATAGAACGAGAACAGTCTGCCACCGTAGATTAAATAAAGGGTTCAGTTTGGAATTCCCTGAATATATCGATTGGGTAACCTTGCGAGCAATAAATGAATAATAATGAGAACTAGACGAGATATCCTGGGCAAAGAACGAGAAACAGTCTGCCATCGTAGATTAAATAAAGGGTTCTGTTGGAATTCCATGAATATATCGATTCGGGTAACCTAGGGTGAGCAATAGATGAGCAGTACTAAAAATAAGAACTAGATGAGATATCCCGAGACATGGACAATGGAACGAGAACAGTCTGCCTCCGTAGATTAAATAAAGGGCTCAGTTCAATCTCTAGAGAGGGCAGTGTTTACTTTGATTCAGTGGAAATAGAGTTGGCAGTAACTGAGCAGTACAAAAAATAAGAACTAGACGAGATATCCCGTGAAATTGGCAGTGGAACGAGAACAGTCTGCTACCGTAGATTAAATAAAAGTTTCATTTCAATCTCTAGACAGGGCAGTGTTAACTTCGATTCAGTGGAAACAGAGTTGGTAATAACTGAGCCGTACTAAAAATAAGAACTAAATGAGATATCCCTAGACATGGGTAGTGGAATGAGAACAGTCTGCTACCGTAGATTAAATAAAGGGTTCAGTTCAAATTTTACAATTGATTAGTGAGTTCTATCACCAATGGGTGCTCCATGCATTTGTCCTTGTGCCACATCTAAGCTAGGCTTAAAAATCATTTTGGGCACTTTGTCTTGTAAGTTTCAGCAAGCTTGTCTCGCTGGATCAATTACGACTAAAAAGGGAATTGGATCCTCACTGGGTTCCTCACACTTTCGCCCTAGTGTCACATCTAAACTGCGCTTAGAAAAATCAGGGAACCTCGACAGGGAGTAATGCTTAGCAAACATGTCTCGCTAGAATAATTTCGACTAAATAGTGAGTTCCATCCTCACTGGGTGCCTCTATACGTTCGGCCTTGTGCCACATCTAAGATACGCTTAGAAAAGGACAATACAATTGTGATTTCCAGACACTTCTACCTGGTGTAATTGTTAAGGAGCATGTTTTGCTTGACCAATAACATCTGATTAGTGAGTTCGATTCTCACTGGGTAATTCCTCTTTCTTTCGGCTTTGTGCGACATCTACAGGGTGTTGAAGCAAAATCTAACACTTGACAAAAAGAAAACGAAATAGGCAATAAAAACAAAAGTTTTATATGCAAAGACCCGGCAGTTTATTTAGCAACAGTTAGTGTTACATACTACATTATTTTTTAATGTAACCGCCGCTGGCAGTGACGACCATCTCAAGGCGGGCGCGAAATGAGTCACACACTTTGGCGACCATGTCCTTGTCCACAGCGCCGAACGCCTCCACGATGGCAGACTTCAGAGACTCGACCTTGTTGTAGGCGTGCTTGTTGGTCATGGTCTCGATCACGCCACAAAAGAAATAGTCACGGGGGTTGCAGTCGAGTGAGGAGGACGGCCACAAGTCCGGCGACCAGTGGTAAGAAACATTGTTGAGCAGCCACGCCGGGTCGTCTTGGCCTTGTGTGTAAGAGCGAGTCCTGCTGGAAGACGTAGGGGCGTCCGGCGGTGATCTCGTCCATCTACACTCGCTCCTCAGCACCTCCTGGTAGATCTCAGCGGTGACTCACGGGCCCTTTTGAAAGAAGAACGGAGGCATGACGTACCCCTCGCTGTAGATGACGCCAAGGACCATGACGCTGGAGGGAAACTTCGTATGCTTCACGACGGGAATCTCCTCGATGTCTTTGCAAATCCACCTGTCATCCACCTGTTGCCTGTCTGGTCCTGGATGAAATTCTTTTCAGCAGAGAAGGACCTTAACATCCCGGCGGATCCGTACTTGAGCCCGTTCAGCAAAACCGCCGCCTTGACCTTCCTCGACATCTTGGAGTCATTCGTGATGAGCATTCGTTGAGACTTGCGATAGGAGGAGTAACCAATGTCCTTCGGCAGATCGTCGATTTGTGACAGCCCCCTGTCAGCGGTGATCTTGACATAGCTCTGGCTTCCATCATTGTCGACTGTCTCCTTGACGGCGGCGACGAACTCGTCGGTCCAAATGGCCGAAGAACGAACGTTGTGGGCCTTTCGTTTGGCAGTAAACTCGTCCTTGTTCTCACACGCCTTCCACTCCCTCCAAATGTGCCTGACCATGGTCCTCTTGAACCCAAACCAGGAGATCAATTCCACAGGCTTGTTCCCGACGCGAAAAGAAGCTACTACCGCTGCTCTGCGCTCATATTCCATCCTGGAAATGGGTAGAAAGAAAAAAGTTAGATAGTTGTCAAACTGTCGAGTATCTGCATATACAACTTTTGTTTTTATTGCCTATTTCGTTTTCTTTTTGTCAAGTGTCGGATTTAGCTGCAACACCCTGTAAGCTACGCTTAAAGTTATAACTTTGTTTTTTGTTAGGATTTGTGCATTTTTCTCCTAAATATTCCAAGCCTAAATCTGGGTGCGTCCAATGCGTGGGTGCGTCTAATACGACGGCAAATACGGTATGTTGGCTGAACAACACTGTCCGTTTAGCGTCGACGCTTTCGGAAAACGGAATTGATCTTTTTTCTTTCTTTTTTTCATTTCTTATGGATTCAGAAACAGTGCCAAAAATGAATCTGAAAGCGGAGTTATTTTCCTGTTCAGATCATAGCATTAGTGTTTGCTACGATTCGGCCCTCAGCAAGCAACAGGGTTACTGCCAAATCTATCATTAAAATCTCGCAGAACGGATCAATAAGAAAATAGTTTTGTTTGTATCGCCATTCTACTAAAAGACGATCACTTGTGGCGGAAGTGAACGTGAGTAATCTGACCAAACAGGAAATGGTGATGTGGTTCCGTGCAACCACCTGCAGTTATTACAATAAATGTGAAGCTAAATAACACCTATTAGGGCCCCAGCTATGGATAAACAGTTAAGCCTCAAACTGAGGTCAAAACACTATGAAAGTATAACTAGATTTTTATAGTTAAAAGAGCAGCAATAGATTTTCGAAAAAAAATATTATCAACAATGGACACAGTTCCAAGTTGAAATTAGTTCTGAGTTGAAATTACTTCCTAGTTGAAATTAGTTCCCAGTTAAAGTTAATTTCGAGGTGAAATTAGTTCCTAGTTGAAATTAGTTCCTAGTTGAAATTAGTTCCGAGATGTAGTTCCGAGTTAAAATTAATTCAGAATTGGAATAAGTTTCGAGGTGAAATTAGTTCCTAGTTGAAATTAGTTCCGAGTTGAAATTACTTTCGAGGTGAAATTAATTCCTAGTTGAAATTAGTTCCAAGTTGAAATTAGTTTCAATGTGAAATTAGTTCCGAGTTGAAATTAATTCCGAATTGAAATGAGTTCCGAGTTGAAATTAGTTCTGTCACTCATAAACTACACCATGAAAATAATAAAATATAAAATAAAACTTCAAATACTCGTGACCCTCTACATAAAAATCAACCAACACTGGACAAAGTTTATTACGAGTGTAGTAGCAATATTTTGAAATGCATTTGACCAAACATTTAATGTTATTTTGCATTTCCAACATTTCTAGTTAGCCCCCTTACATAAGGATGCTTGTTTTGAAAAAACACTAGAACAACAAATAATAAATTTAAAATTTAAAATAATTATAACAGAGCGTTTTCACACGTGTTTTCAAAAATCACCATGACAACGATCACATCCCTGAGGATGATCTCGGAGGAGATCGAAACCTCGGCGCCTTCCTTAATGAATTTCAACTTAACATCAATAAGCTGATTAGAAAACTGGAAAGGATCAGTATAAAAATAAATAGACATAATGTCTTCATTATTTAATGAAACATGTTTGAATATATATATATATATATATATATATATATATACTAGCAGCATGGCCCAGCGTTGCCTATGCTTGATTCAAAAATCGTCGTACGACTTATACAGCAATCGTTATCACTTAATTTAAAATATTTTTGCCCTTCCTTGCCTTTAAAGGAGTGCCTTTTTCCGTGCTGATATTTCTACATGCCTTACTTCTTGCCTATCACACACAGCGAATTTTTTCTAAGCTCTATACTAAACATTAAATCTGTTACGTAAAAAGAACTAAACAAAATGAACACAAAACGATCAGCTTTAAAAAAAAAGGACTCGTAACTGGAAAAACCGAATGAAAAAAGAATGTTAACAACAAATACTTTTTCTCACCCAACCCAGTTCTGCGGAATCAGAATCAACGTTGAGTTTAAGCAAGTGAATGAGCCAATTGGAGTAAAGTGCCATGCAGATTTAAATTTTTCCCACTTGTGACGAATGCAGCTATCGATTTTTTTTTGAGTGCTAGCATGCTAGTTAACATTCGTGTCAGCCAATAGAATCTTCCTGCCTATTCGTGGCAGCCAGCTATTGGCTCTCACTATGGCCAGTACAAAATGGCCGCAAACTACATGAAAACTGCCGTAGAAGCATGAAAAAATCCATTATTTCCACTATCGATGGGAGTTGGGAAATGCAAGGTCCGTCTTGGCCTTCCCGCTAACTTGGAGCATGTGCATGTAAATTTTTTGTGCAAATCCGTCGAAAATTGCGTGCGTGCATTCGTTACACACACACACACACACACACACACACACACACACACACACACACACACATCCTGCCTTTTATAGATAGAAATAGGGTTTGGTTTGGTTTGGTTTGGTTTGGTTTGATTTTACAGCATATCAATCTCAATGGGTCATTTAAGGCCGACAAAATTTTATAGTTGGTAATATTTTTTTTAAATCTATTTCTGGTATTTATATATATAAAGGGTGTATAAAAATAATTTTACAAACTTTGGGGGCGTGTTCCTGACACCAAAACAATGTAATATGTCCATATGAGCATATGTTCAAACGGCATCGTTGTGCCTCAACACATAAAACATTTTCAAAATGTCCTCCCTTTGCTTCTACATACGTATGCACCCGTGGGATCATTGACTGGCGGACCCTTTCAAATAATCCCACACGGTGTCGAAGGGTTTCGTAGGCCGTCCTGACAGACAGATGAAGCGTCTCTGAATTATTAATGTCTGCTGTATAGACCAATTGTTTTAGGTGGTCCTACAAATAAAAATCCAAAGAATTGATACGATAAATGTCAGCCATTGCATGTGAAAGAAATGTGGTGAAACACAATGATGTATGAATCCCATGTTTGTTCTTATTAGCAAGAGTACATCCTCTAGAAGGTCGGAAGCGTGTTCGAAATAAAGTCCCTGTAGACACCTCCTGTAAGACGTACTGACTGATCATATGGACCTACCAGACAGTCACCTACAATTCCAAATCACACATTAATCGTAAAACGATACTGGTGTTAAGCCTGTATTCTGCCAAGCGGATTCCGATCCACCCACTCTTCCAAATGTTGTCTCTACCGTAAAAGAAACGGAAGACACAAACAACGGATCGGTAGTTTGTGCAATAAACTATCAGAAAATGTTCTCCCGTAGTGAGAGATGAGAAGGCGAAAGACCCTCACATGTTGCAAATGATACGGATGCAGGAGCTGCTCTTGAAGTACCCCCATACGGTACTATGAGATGAACGACATGCTAGGGTCACTTGTCGTGTTCTGATACCTGTACTGTCTCATACAGCCTGGAGAATGCGTTCATCGTGGTCAGGCTTACGAGCGGATATCGGTCTTCCTTGATTCATAGTCTGTGGTGTCACGGATTCCGTCTCAGAAACGCGACAATAAACAGGAGCAAAGGCTGCATGACTCGGCCGCCTTCACTAACTAAGGAAAGGCAATCTGATACAGGCATACAGTCTCGGGTCCATTAGCATTCACACGGCCGTATGTAAACATCATATCGGACTGTTCAGCCATTGTTTAAGGGAACACTTCCCAGGTAACTCACTACTGAAGACGTTAAACGTTGAAGACAGGAGAGCCACTAATGTACATGAATGACAAATGTAACCTCGTCTACATGGCAACACAGTGACATCTACCTTAAACTTTCTTTAATCTAATTAACCCGAAAGTGTAGAGTTGAAGACATATGTCTATACATGCTTTTGTCTTTGTTTAGATGTGAGAAAACCTTATATATATATATATATATATATATATATATATATATATATATATATATATATATATATATATATATATAAGGCTCAAACACTAATATTCCATGGTTATAATTTATTACATTGGAATCGTAATCACGCGTGGCAAAGTTGTGGCAAAACTAAAGATATTCTATGGCGAAAGTGCGCATAATGTTTGACTTGCTTTCAGATAGCTATCTATCTATCTAGCTAGCTAGCTAGCTAGATAGATAGATAGATATGAACAGACTCAGATATGAACAGATTGGGATGGATATGAAGACTGAGATAGATAGATAGAAGATAGATGAGATAGATGATAGATAGATAGATAGATAGATAGATAGATAGATAGATAGATAGATAGATATGAACAGACTGAGATAGATAGATAGATAGATAGATAGATAGATAGATAGATGAACAGAGATGAGATAGATAGATAGATAAAGATAGATAGATAGATAGAATAGATAGATAGATAGATATGAACAGATTGAGATAAAGATGAATAGATAGATGGGATAAATATGAAGACTAAGATAGATAGATAGATTACATAGATAAATAGATTAGATAGATGATAAACAGACTGACTTCGATAGATAGATAGATAGATAGATAGATAGATAGATAGATATGAACAGACTGACTTAGATAGATAGATAGATAGATAGATAGATAGATAGATCTGAATACATAAAATGTCTTTAATAAATAAATTGTCGGACTTTGTCCATTTCTTTAGATAGATAGATAGATAGATAGATAGATATGAACAGACTGACTTCGATAGATAGATAGATAGATAATGAACAGAGATAGATAGATAGATAGATAGATAGATAGATAGATAGATAGATAGATAGAGATTGAGATAGATAGATCTGAATACACTAACATAGACAGATATGAAAAAGATAGATTACCAGATAGATATGAACAGACTGAGATAGATAAATAGATAGATAATGAACTATTGCTTTTTATATCATTTTGAATCTTTCTTTCACGTCTCTATATAAGTTGCTCCGTCAGTCTATTTCTCTTTGTGTCTTCAAGCTTCTTGCTCTCCTCGTCTCCACTCTCAAAACCGCCATTCTCCCTTCCTTTCTCTGTCTCCCTCTCTTCCCCAAACACACCCGCGAAGACTCACACACACACACACACACACTCTCTCTCTATCTCTCTCTCTCTCTGTCTTCTTCTTCCCCCTCCCCCAACGCCTGGCCACCATTACCAATGAACCAGCCTCACAAATAGTTGTCAGATAAAAAAAAAAAAAGAATTAAAGTACAAGCATCCCGACACGGCAAAATAAATCATCGTAACGCCCTCAAACCATTATTCTCTGAACTCTTTCCAAATAAATTACGTTGAAATCTTTCACTTGGGTTCACCTATCAGGTTACATACCGTCAGTTGCTGACAAAATAGTGAAAACGGCAAGGCTGACCGGGACGTTTCAGGGCACCTTCAACAACCTGCAGAAATAAATATTGTTCATCATTTTTTTTTTTTCAAATTCAAATTAAAGTTTAAATCCCGAATTCGAGGTCACTTCATGGCATATGGCACAGAGGAGCAACGGATAGCGGAGGTGCCGCGGTGTAATGGAAAGCGGTTCAGTTTGAGGAATCGGGGAGGCGAGTTCGAATTCCAGTCGAGATCGGAACATCCACTTACGTGTAAAATACCATCTCTCTTCTCCGAGCTGAGAGGGTAGCTATGGGCAAATATCAGGGCAAACTGGGCCTTGAGCGGCAACTGGTCTGGAAGATCAACTCTGATTTCAAGAACCTCTGTGGTTAAACAATAGGGTAGACTCTGTTCTTCAGTCTTGAGTGGTAATCAGTCTAGGAGATGGAAAAATCTGAATTCAAAAATCTTCAAATATGGTTAAATAATAAGGTAGACTGTGTTCTTCAGCCTTGAGTGGTAATCCGTCAAGGAGAAGGAAAAATCTGAATGCAAAAATCTTCAGAGTCTGTCTATATTTCTGAGATGAGGTATTATGTACATTATTTACATTATTCGGGCTATTGTCCTCACTTTTTTCGCCATATTTATCACAACGTTTCGGCCGTTGTACGCTCCGGCTTTCTTCAGGTGGTTACAATTTCGAACTGAACCCTTTATTTCGCTCACTGGGATAGACTGTTCTAGTTTAAAATACAGTTTATGTTTAATGGATGTCAGTTATCAGTTATCTCCTGTTAATTTCCCTCTGAAAGTTCTCCGTTCCTTAACCGGGTATTGAACTCACACTCTTTGGGTCCTGTCATTTGGATTTAACCAATTTTTTATCCATTGTGCCATGTGTCTTTGAGGACACATGGGCAGTAAGGATAAAAAACGGATAAAAATGGAAAAAAAAAATCTTCAGATATGGCTCAATAGTAGAGAAGATGCGTTCTTCAGCCTTGAGAGGAAATCAATCTAGAACAAGGACAACTCTGAACTCTTTGTGTATGTGCTATGCACAAGTGTGAGTGCCTGCATGTTTGAGAGTCCAATCGTCAGTCATGACATAAACGAACATGGACCTTCAAAATTTTCTTTAATATGTACGAATTTTAATGGTTTATTGGGATTTTTTTGTACAATTTAAATTTTTTTCTTAAGTTATTGGCTACTACTAAAGCTTGTTATGGAATAGTTCACATAGTCACCGGGGTGTACAATTTACTCCACAACATCCACCACTTTTGAGATTTTATTTTTTATTAGTATTAGAATCTTCCCCTTCTGTTTCTAGAGAGTTCGCCAACGTACCTGATTTTTAGCGTTTCCGTCTCGGATCTACTTCCAGCTCTTCAGTGCACTTTATTTCTCTGGAACTTATCCTTGTAGGTTTCACGACTTGTTGTGGTGCTGGCACATCGAAACATCATATAGCATTTTTATCGGTTCTTCCAATGCTTCATGTCTTTCTTCGATAAAACATTTTTTGGCTGGTTATGGTGCATTTTATGTTCAAATATTTTCCGTTTTACCATGGAAATTACCTACCCTATCAATTCTTGCTGATATTATGCCATTTTCCCAGGTTTCTTTGCTATCCTCATATGCTATGAAGAACACTTTATCAACGACTTTGAAACTTGTCGTTTTTTTTTTGTTTCTTTTTGTTTTTTTATCAGTTCGTGTTTTTTGACTTGGTAATAACTTGTCAAACACCGGTTTTACTTTTCTAGCAAACATTAATTCCACCGGCGACATGCCTGATGGTGAACTAGGGTTAGGTTTTATACGGTAAACTCTCAGAAAATTTTGAAGTGCTTCCTTATTTACTTTCTCAAAAAATTTTAATTCAACGCTCTTTTGAACATTCCCACTAACCTTACCTCGTATCCGATCGACCTTGTGTGATACGACGGGGACGTAATATGTTCAACGAAGAATATCACACAAAAGTCTTCGAATTCTTCAACCGTGAATTACGTTCCAGAGACTATGGTATCTGGTATACCATATCTCGAAAACAGTTTATGCAAGAAATTCACTGTCTCTGAAGATATATTTTTGCACTTATAAATTTCCGGCCATTTAGTCAAATTATCAACTACCACAAGATAATATGATCCATTTTTAGGACCTTGCAAAATCTATATAAAGTCTTGATCACAGTGTGTCTGTCTTTAGCCAAGGTACTATCTTTGTGACAGTTTTGCCGCCAAGAACAACATCTTGGTTAATTCTGATCCAATATTCATTCTTGAAATACCAGGATGTCTGCTATGAATATCGTTCAATATCCGCTTCTGGAACACACTAGGTATTAAAATCCTTTACCCGAACATTACTACACCGTTGCATAGCGAGTAAGCGTTTAGGTCTGGATTTTTAGAACGACCTCCACTTTATGATTTGAAAGAAATGATTGGATTAAATCAAATAGTCGTCATGTAATGCTGTAGTCCTGAAGTTTACGCAGAAGACGACCATATTAAAACTCTGTCGAACACCTTCAAGATATCTAGAGCCACACCAAGAGCCTGATATATATGTTCAGTTATGGCTGTGAGCATATCAGCGGTAGAGTGTGCAAAGCGGAGTCCATATTCAGTATTTACATTATTCGGACTATTGTCGTCATCTTTGTCGCCATATTTATTTTCAACGCTTCGGCCGTTGCATTTCCGGGCTTCTTCAAGTGGTTGGAATGTCGAACTGAACCCTTTATTTCGCTCACTGGGGTAGACTGTTCTAGTTCCACGTGCCATGTTTAATGGATAAATGCTAAACCTTGTTCCGCCATCCATTTACTCAAGCTCATTCTTCTTCTTCTATGTGCCGTGTCCCTTCAGGACGTTGTCGATCATGGTTCTCCACAATTTCCTCTCCTTTGTAGCTCTTAATATATTTTGTCTTTTTGTTATCCCTCCTAAACTTTGGTCCGTCATCCATTTCCTCAAACTCATTCTATTTTTTTATGTGCCGTGTCCCTTCAGGACGTTGGCGATCATGGCTGTCCACCATTTCCTGTTCTTTGTATCTCTTAATAAATTTTATCTTTTTGTTATCTCTCCTAAACCTTGTTCTGCCATCCATTTAATCAATCCATTCTTCTTCTATGTGCCGTGTCCATTCAGGACGTTGTCGATCATGGCTCTCCACAATTTCCTGTCGTATTGGGTTTGGACATTCGACTTACCGTCTCTACCGTCAGCATGGCTTCGTCTGATTTGGCAAAAAAAAAGAAAAGAAAAAAAATGAAACTTATGGTTTTACAAAAACTTACAAAGAATTTATCATTAATGGAAAATTCCTGTATTGTGATCTTCGGACACGACTTTCAAGGTCTGCACAAAGAAATAGAAATTTTATATGAGGACGACAGACCACATTTAAAAATATGTGGACTAAGTAAAAATGACGATTTCATCTTAAATTGTTGATTTCCATGGCTACTATTCTATTCTGTCAAGCTTTTTTTTTTTTTATATTATATATATATACTAGCAGCATGGCCCGGCGTTGCCCGTGCTTGATTCAAAAATCGTACGACTCATACAGCAATCGCTATCACTTGACTTAAAATATTTTTGCCCTTCCTTGCCTTTAAAGGAGTGCCCTTTGCCGTACTGATGTTGCTACATGCCTTACTTCTTGCCTATCTCACACTGCGAATTTTTTTCTAAGCTCTATACTAAACATTAAATCTGTTACGAAAAAAAAAGAACTAAACAAAATGAACACAAAACGATCAGCTTTAAAAAGGACTCGTAACTGGAAAAACCGAATGAAAAAGAATGTTAACAAAAAATACTTTTTTCACACCCAACCCAGTTCTGCGGAATCAGAATCAACGTTGAGTTTAAGCAAGCGAATGAGCCAATTGGAGTAAAGTGCCATACAGATTTAAATTTTTCCCACTTGTGACGAATGCAGCTATTTTTTTTTTTTTTGCTAGAATGCTAGTTAACATTCGTGTCAGTCAGCTGTTGGCTCTCTCACGCTGGCCAATAGAATCTTCCTGCCTATTCGTGGCAGCCAGCTATTGGCTCTCACTCTGGCCAGTACAAAATGGCCGCAAACTACATGAAAACTGCCGTAGAAGCATGAAAAAAATCGATTATTTCCACTATCGTTGGGAGTTGGGAAATGCAACGTCGGTCTTGGCCTTTCTCTAACTTGGAGCATGTACATGTAAATTTTGGTGCAAATCCGTCGAAAATTGCGGCCGTGCATTCGTTACACACACACACACACACACACACACACACACACACACATACAGACACACACATCCTGCCTTTTATAGATAGATATATATATAAGCGAGCTACTAGACTGGCCTAAATGTCCTGCCCATTTACCGTTAAAATAGTTAAACGTAACCGTCACTTCTACTCCAACTGCTTCTTTTCTCGCACTACCCGTCTGTGGAACTCACTCCCATTTACTTGCTTCCCTGAATAACTAATATCTTGAAAAATTTGAAAAATAAATGTTGGCTTTGCTCCATGAAGTTTTGTTGTTTTCTTTCCGCTAAGTGAGTCAGAATATTTTGGCCAGCCTAATAAATTGTGTCATGCCAGAAAATTGATTTCCCCAGAATCCTGTTTGCACATATATAGATCTACCATTGGTCCGTTCATGCAATATTGGTCTATTGCTACTACTATAAACTACATAGAGTGAAGGTGGGTGGGAAACTGTGGATAGACGGGGAATGAGGCAAGGTTAAAACATGAACGGGGTCCAAGACATTAGAAGATAGTGATTGACTTTGCATTTAAATTTTTGAAGATTGCAGTCATCAAGAAAGCAAGTAAATGGAAGGGAGTTCCACAGACGGGTAGTGCGAGCAAAAAAGCTATTGGAGTAGAAGTGGCGGTTAATTTTAACCGCTTAAATATATGTAATCGGGGCACGATAAAAAAAAGCATTACAGAATAGCAGCCATGGAAACATTGCTAGAAAAGACAGGGAGATGCCACACGTCTTTGAGAAAGTGACTGGATTCGAACTGCCTACTTTTAAAATCTATTGTCTGACTCTAGTCATATATCTGTGAAATCCCGACGATACTCTGGAGAAGAGGAGGCATTTATAAGGAAGGAAATAAAATGTCTGTTGGATTCAGATTTCACTGAGCTCAGTAGATGTCAGTAGAAATCGTCTTAGACAGTTCTAGGACAGAAATTAAAAACAAACTGGTTAGGGATCTCACAAACAATAAATAACTTTAATCGAAAAACGTCAAAGAGAAAAACCATTGATTCCATTAACCCTTTGGTTCTTGCGTTCCTGAACAAATGTAATCCTTCTTCCTGGACGCCTGAGTTAAAATTCGCAATTGTATGCCATCTACCACAGATAAAATGTATTGTTGATGATTTTGCTATAAAATGTATTGTTAATGATTTTGCTATAAAATGTATTGTTGATCATTTTGCTATAAAATATATTGTTAATGATTTTGCTATAAAATGTATTGTTAATGATTTTGCTATAAAATGTATTGTTGGTCATTTTGCTATAAAATATATTGTTAATGATTTTGCTATAAAATGTATTGTTTTCATTTTGCTATAAAATGTATTAATGATTTTGCTATAAAATGTATTTTAATGATTTAAAATAAAATGTATTGTTATGATTGTTGATCATTTTGCTATAAAATATATTGTTAATGATTTTGCTATAAAATGTATTGTTGATCATTTTTATAAAATATATTGTTAATGATTTTGCTATAAAATGTATTGTTAATGATTTTGCTATAAAATGTATTGTTGGTCATTTTGCTATAAAATATATTGTTAATGATTTTGCTATAAAATGTATTGTTGATCATTTTGCTATAAAATGTATTGTTAATGATTTTGCTATAAAATGTATTGTTAATGATTTTGCTATAAAATGTATTGTTGATGATTTTGCTATAAAATGTATTGTTGATCATTTTGCTATAAAATATATTGTTAATGATTTTGCTATAAAATATATTCTTAATGATTTTGCTATAAAATATATTGTTAATGATTTTGCTATAAAATGTATTGTTGGTCATTTTGCTATAAAATGTATTGTTAATGATTTTGCTATAAAATGTATTGTTGATGATTTTGCTATAAAATGTATTGTTAATGATTTTGCTATAAAATGTATTGTTGATAATTCTACTATAATTAACTGAAAATGTATTTAAATTCTTTAAGAATTGTAGAATGTAATATGGATATGTTAGTTGTTTGGTTGGTGGGTTCATTTTAGTTGACGGTATATCAACCTCTATGGAGTCTCGAATGTCGAAATCTAAATATTGTGAAGATATTTTTTTTAGCTTCAACTAAATTTGTTTTGAACGCGATTACGTGCTTTCAGTTCGAGATAAAATGTATTTTTGGTTATTTTTCTATAAAATATATTGCTGATCATTTTTCTATATATATGTATTCTTTGTTATTTTACTATAAAAATATATTTTTATTCTTTCATAGTATGTTGTTCTAGAATTCACTATTTTCCAAGAGCCAGGAACTTTACAGGTACTACGACGCGAGGGCCTGGGAACAAAAGTATTTAATAGGTGGTTCCACAAAACATCAAATCACCTGATCAGATGCCTTGCTGCAAGATGCAGTTTATCGTCATACGAAGGACTGAGAACTATATTTCAGTCGCCTCAGATTTTTTTTCTTCTGTGTGGAGATGGTAAAGAGAAGAAATTGTCTAGCATTTCTTGCCATACAAGAGGACTGATATTACATAACAATTCAGTACTCTTTTCTTTGTTTATCTTGCTTCTTCATCTTTGAGGAGATTGTCCAGCATTCATTGCCATAGAGGAGGACTGATATTACATAACAGTTCATAAAACATTTCTTTGTTACTATCGCCTAAAGTTTCTTGTTCTGTGTGGAGAGGGTCCATTCACTGCAAAATACGCGGATTAAAAATACGTAGAAGTTCAGTAATCTTTTCTTTGTTTATCTTGCTTCAAGTATCTTCTTCATTTGTAAGATTGTCCAGTATTCACTGCCATAAAGGAAGACTGATATTACATAACAGTTCAGCACTCTTTTCTTTGTTTCTATCGCCTCAAGTTTCTTCTCCTTCTGTGTGGAAGTGGTTCATCATTCACTTCCATAGAGGTGGACTGATATTAAGTAGCACTTCAGAAATCTTTTCTTTGTTTCTCGTGATTCAGGTCTTTTTTTCATTGGTTAAAAATTGCCTAGCATTTGCTGTCATACAAGAGGACCGATATTACATAACAATTCAGTACTCTTTTCTTTGTTTCTCTTGCTTCAAGTCTCTTCTTCATCTGTGAGGAGATTGTCCAGTATTCATTGCCATAAAGGAGGACTGATATTACATAACATTTCAGCACTCTTTTCTTTGTTTCTCTTGCTTAAAGTCTCATCTTCATCTGTGAGGAGATTGTCCAGTATTCACTGCCATAAAGGAGGACTGATATTACATAACAGTTCAGAAAACTTTTCTTAGTTTCTATCGCCTCAAGTTTTTCTGTATAGAGATGGTCCAGCATTCACTACCATATATGCTGACTGATATTAGGTAGCACTTCATAACTCTTGTCTTTGTTTCTATTGCTTCAAGTCTCTTCTTCATCTGTGAGGAGATTGTCCAGGATTCACTGACATATAGGAGGACTGATATTACATAAGACTTCATCACCCTTTCCTTTATTTCTCGTGTCTCAGGTCACTTTATTTGTATAAAGATTGTCTAGCATTTGCTGCCATATAAGAGGACTGATATTGCATAACAATTCAGTACTCTTTTCTTTGTTTCCCTTGCTTCACGTCTCTTCTCCTTTGTGGAGATGGTCCAGCACTCCAGTATTCACTGCCATAGACGAGGATTGATATTACATAACATTTAAATATGTTTTTATTTTGTTTCTAACGAAGCCTTCATGTTTCTTAATATTTGCTTAGCTTTTGGAAAGCATATTTCGCTATCCAATTGCGCCTACGGATACATCAGCCGCTTTTGCCGTCCACTGTTAATACACTTCGCAGATATTTAAATTGTTTTATTTGATTGATGCTGGTATTTCCAATTTTGTTTTTGTTTTTTTGTTTTTGTTTTGTTTTGTTTTGTTTTTTTTTAATTTCCTCTGTGCGACGGATCTAGACGCAGCCGATTTAATTTAGTTTTCCAAAGCTTTTCTTTTTTATCGCTATTAGAATTTTTAATTTTTATTTTGTTATTCAATTACCAAAGAGACAAATTTATTAACCTTTAAATTCGCGAAAAACATTGGTCACGAAAATGGTTCCCCGCGGGGCGTACTATGATAGTTCACGAGTCGCATGCCTCGTGTTTGAAACCCCTGAAATAGAGCGGGAAGGAATATTTCAACACCACCGACACAACACCGCCGACTCATCTCCGTGACAAATTAACTCCAGGACGGTTCACCACCTGCCTACTCAGCGCGTGGACAACTAAACGTTGGCGTCGAATCCATAGATTCAGATCGGTGTAGGTTGGTATGATGTCCACATCTCTTATATCGGTTTTAAATCGTAAAGATTTTGAAAGTTTGGCTGTCTATCTTAGTGATTTTTATTAGTTATTTGGCTGTTTGGCTGACTGATGTTTAATTTTCAAACGTTTCATCACACCGATAATGGAAATTCTTAGTCAAAGAGGAAAGCAAGAACATGAAGGATATTTATTTGTATTTGATAAGTTTAGCAAAAGAGACAGCAACATCAAATTTTGGCGTTATGATCCAGAATATCGGTGCCATGTGTGAATTCATACGAAGTTTGGAACAATTTTAAAGGAAGTAAACAATCATTACCATCAGCAGCCAATGTAGAATCCCCCTCTCACTAAATTCAAGAAGTACATGAAGGTAAAAGAAAAAAAAAGCAAATTTTTTCATCCTTTTCACAATCGTCTCTAACTGAATATTTGAGGAGAATTGCATACAATTTCCAATAGTTATTTAAATTAGAAACAGTCACGTATTAAAAAATGATCCTTAATGAATTACTTTTGTTCGGTTTTAGAAAATTATGTTTTAAGATGATCCTTAATAAATTTCTTTTATTCGGATTTAAAAAGTTATGTTTTGAAAATGATGCTTAATAAATTTTTTTTATTCGAACTGAAAAAGTTATGATTTAAAATGAAATTTAATAAATTAATTATTTGTTTTTAAAAAGTCGACCAAAAAATTCCAGAGTTTGCATGTCGTTGACTTGTCCTAGCGCCGAGTAGGCTGGTGGTGAGTTGTCTTGTGTTGTGTCGGCGGTGTTGAGTTGGCGATCATGAGTCGTCTTGCACCGAAATAAACATCTGAACGACAATGTTCTCCAAAACTTAAAAAATCGTAAATAAGCCCCGCAGCCATTATGGTCGTTGGGGGCACTGCAGCTATAGCATTAGCTGATGTGTCTAGAACCTGATAAGCTTATCATGTGGCTCGTTTTAAATTCAAAGCTTGTCTCCTTTGTGCAGTGGTTATCCTACATATATAGTGTCACAAATAATTGACATAATTTAAAATGTGATTATCTGAGTAGCTACATGTCACAGTCAAATTAAATAAGCTTCAGGTTGGACATTAAAAAACTTATTAGTTCGAAATAACACTTGTGACACGACATATATCAAGTCGGTAGTCCAGCTCCTGCCAAACACGATGTAGCATGACTTGCGTAGCATTCCCCAGCGACTCAGTGATTCTTTGCTGTCCTTTCTCATAGCCCCATAGAAAAAATCACAAGTTTTCAAGTCAGATGAACATGGTAGCCATTTTAACATTGTCATTATCACTGGCACACCCGATCCATCTTCCTGGTAGACTCTCAATGAGATAAGTCCATATTGGGGTGGTGGGGGGTCTGGATGAGGTCTTCATCAGGTGCTTTTTAACTTAAGTAACGCTCAAAGATATACAAGCACTAGATGAGTCTCGAAGAGCATACCGACCGAAATGATGCGACAATAACAACAAAGATGAGGATATTAGTCTGAATGTAAATAATGATAACTCCTCATCCCCGAAATTCAAACAGAAGGCGATCAGGTGATAAAAACAACAAAGATGAGGATATTAGTCTAAATATAAATAATGATAACTCCTCATCCCCGAAATTCAAATAGAAGGCGACCAGGTGATAAAAACAACAAAGATGAGGATATTAGTCTGAATATAAATAATGATAACTCCTCATCCCCGAAATTCAAACATAAGGCGATCAGGTGATAAAAACAACAAAGATGAGGATATTAGTCTAAATATAAATAATGATAACACCTCATCCCCGAAATTCAAATAGAAGGCGACCAGGTGATAAAAACAACAAAGATGAGGATATTAGTCTGAATATAAATAATGATAACACCTCATCTCCGAAATTCAAATAGAAGGCGACCAGGTGATAAAAACAACAAGATGAGGATACTAGTCTAAATATAAATAATGATAATTCCTCATCCCCGAAATTCAAACAGAAGGCGATCAGGTGATAAAAACAACAAAGATGAGGATATTAGTCTGAATATAAATAACGATAACTCCTCATCCTCGAAATTCAGTCAGAAACACGTTATTACTAAACAATGTCATTATAGAGCCGGAGACGAAATACATTTTTTATATTTTTATAGACTCAAAAGAAATTCGAAACCAAATTATCTAATACTCTCTACTACAAAGTTAAAGGAAAAATTATTTACTAATTGTGTTTTTTTTTACTTTTAAATTTCATCCGGAAATTTCTCATATTAGTTACACCGTGAGTAGGTCTGTCGTATAGAACGCCGTGAAATGTAACTTTTGACTCTTTAACGTTCCTCCAGTTGACTAGAAGCTTCTCTTCACTTTAATATTTCCTATCATTGTCTATACCAGCAGTTCCAAACCACAGAGCCGCTAACCAGTAAAGGGCCGTGAACCATTTGATATCGGGCTTTGGACCATCCAGTAGAGGGCTGTGGACCATTTGATATCGGGCTTTGGATCATCCAGTACAGGGCCGTGAACCATTTGATATCGGGCTTTGGACCATCCAGTACAGGGCCGTGAACCATTTGATATCGGGCTTTGGACCATCCAGTAGAGGGCTGTGGACCATTTGATATCGGGCTTTGGACCATCCAGTACAGGGCCGTGAACCATTTGATATCGGGCTTTGGACCATCCAGTAGAGGGCTGTGGACCATTTGATATCGGGCTTTGGATCATCCAGTACAGGGCCGTGAACCATTTGATATAGGGCTTTGGACCATCCAGTACAGGGCCATGGACCATTTGATATAGGGCTTTGGACCATCCAGTACAGGGCCGTGGACCATTTGATATCGGGCTTTGGATCATCCAGTACAGGGCCGTGAACCATTTGATATCGGGCTTTGGACCATCCAGTACAGGGCCGTGAACCATTTGATATCGGGCTTTGGACCATCCAGTGAGGGCTGTGGACCATTTGATATCAGGCTTTGGACCATCCAGTACAGGGCCGTGAACCATTTGATATCGGGCTTTGGACCATCCAGTAGTGGGCTGTGGACCATTTGATATCGGGCTTTGGACCATCCAGTAGAGGGCCGTGAACCATTTGATATCGGGCTTTGGACCATCCAGAATTTAGGGCTGTGGACCATTTGATATCGGGCTTTTGGACCATCCAGTACAGGGCCGTGAACCATTTGATATCGGGCTTTGGACCATCCAGTACAGGGCCGTCACCATTTGTTACCATGTCGCACAGGAAGAATAACAATTTTTTTCCATTTTATTTACTATCTCAGTCTTGTTTATTGTATTTTGTTATACATGGGACCGATATCGTAAACCTACAGTCCTGTGAAAAAATTGTTTTCCATGACACCGGTCTGTGCTCAAAAAGTTTGCGGAACGCTGTCCTAGGCAACCTTTCCTCCGTGTATGTCTCTCAAACACAAGATATCCCTAGACATGAGATGTGGAACGGGAACAATCTAGATTAAATAAAGGGTTCTGTTTCGAAATTCCTTTTTGGTTAACGGGATCTAAATACACATGATGAAGGCCAGAGAGCATAACGGCCGAAAACGTGATAACAACAAAAAAGATGAAGATAATAATCAGAAATTCATACACAGATGTCCTCAAGGACACATGGCACAGTGGCATAAAGGCGTTGGTTAGATCCAGTGACAGAACCTAAATATTATGAGTTCAATACCCGGTTAAGGCAGTGGAGAACTACAGAGGGAAATTAACTGGAGATAACTGATAATTGACATCCATTAAAACATGGCACGTGGAACTAGAACAGTCTACCCCAGTGAGCGAAATAAAGGGTTCAGTTCGAAATTCCAACCACCTGAAGAAGGCCGGAGCGTACAACGGCCGAATTTTTTGATAAATATGGCGACAAAGATGAGGACAATAGTCCGAATAATGTAAATAATGTATATAATACTTCATCAGAAATATAGACACATACTGAAGGGCCGAAACGTTGAAATAAATATGGCGACAAGAATGAGGACAATAGTCTGAATAATGTAAATAATGTACATTTTACCTCATCTCAGAAATATAGACAGATACTGAAGGGCCGAAATGTTGCAATAAATATGGCAACAAAGCTGAGGACAATAGTCCAAATAATGTAAATAGTGTACATAATACCTCATCTCAGAAATATAGACAGATACTGAAAGGCAGAAACGTTGTAATAAATATGGCGACAAAGATGAGGACAATAGTCCGAATAATGTAAACAATGTACGTAATACCTCATCTCAGAAATATAGACAGATACTGATAACTCCACATCCCAGAAATTAAGAAAGAAGGCGATCAGTTGATAATAAAAAAAAGATGGGGACAATAGTCTGTATTTAAATAATGATAACTCCTCATCCCTAAAATAGCGACAGAATAACGTATATACGCGTGTCTTTGCAGACGTAGACGCTCCATCGTATATATAAATGGACGCACAGATGTTCGTGGAAAATTCGACCGAAAATGTTAATGTATGAAATATAAAATAACGATTATGGTAGAGGGAGAGAATAAGTTTACCGGGGCCCAGACTCGAGGTAGGGATGATGGCGCGTGGGGTGGGCTGTGGTGGTGTATGGAAGAGGGATATCCATCCTTTGGTTAACTCTTTTTTCTGCTGAGTTGTCTTGCACCAGCAGCATGCCAGACTAGATCACATCAAACTGAGAAAATCTCTCCAGACTGGACGGAGAGGCACGCTGGGCCCCACCCTCCAAACTCCTCGTCAGAGCTCTTCAAACTCAGGTCCGACGGAAGCGAAAATGTCTCATTGAATTTGCGCGCTTTTCTCCAGCACTCTCTTTGTCACTGGCACTTTTTTAAGTGTCTGCCATGGGCTCAGTGAGTTGTCCATTATTCGGGACAGACGGCGAGTAGTGGAGTTTTATAGATTGGAGTAAGAATTAAAAATGACTTGACAATTGCCTTTTCCAACGTCCTCGGAAATTTTCGTCTCATTTCAAAATGAAAAAACAATGGAAAAAAATATTCAGCAATTTAAAAATATCTTCATAAAATTAAACCTACTTTTTATTTTTCAAATTTACAATTGGAATTATTACCCGCTCAGGCTATAATTTCTAATTTATTCATTTTTGCATAATATTTTTTTTTTCCTAAAAATATAATGGATTTTATTCATAATTCGGACAAATTTTTCATTATTTTAAGCGTTATTTTTTAAGGATATTCATATCTGAGTACTCAAATATGATTATCCACTAAAAATAACATTTAAAATAATAATTTATATATATATATATATATATATATATATATATATATATATATATATATATAGGGGAAAAGTTATAGTTGTTCCAACGAGAGAAATATGTATATTTTTTTAAAAAAGAGAAAAATTACAAACGATTTTGGTTATAATGTGGATTTCTTTTAGTGTATATATTATATTTTATTCTTCATATTTCTGCTACACGAGTTTCCGGTCTCGTGACCTTCAAAGGAAAAAAAAAAGGAAAAAAATTAAAAGCGGTCAATATTCCATATGTTCTTTAAATGTCTCGTTGTTCTTCTTCTGTATTTGTTAATGAGCCTTGACTTATTTCTGGACTATTGACAATATATATAAAATATATATACTAAAACAAATCGACATTATAAACAAAAACGTTTACGGTTTCACTCTATATATATATATATATATATATATATATATATATATATATATATATATATATATATATATAAATTAAATATTATTCTCTGTATTCACATTGAGCTCTCAGGATTTCATCCTCCTTGGAATTACCCATTCGGTTTACCAAGTTCTTCGTAACTTATATATATATATATATATATATATATATATATATATATATATATATATATATATATATATATAGTTGTATAAAAAGTCAACAATCCTTTTAAAATGAATGTTTCAAAAAAATTCAGACAAAAGTACTACGGTTAAGCTTTTTATTTAATTTTTCTTGTGTTCGAACAAGAGCTTTCTTTTCCAAACAAAAGGTGTGTAAGAACTGTCCAAATGTTTTGATTTACGAGCGGTTTTTCTATACATTTAGCTAATTACAAACAAGACGAATGTTCTCTAAGGCATATTTTAAAGAAATATACTACCCAATTGATCTGAATAAAAAAAAAATTAATTATATATTATAAAAAAATTTAAGACAGCCAACCTTATCCTCAAAAACAAATAACACACCAGATAAGTCAAAATTACAAAGAACGAACATTATCTATGAGTTCAAATGCCCTTTAAAAAATGTTTTCTGTTCTATGATCAAAAATAATTACATCGGTTACACAATAAACATGCTTATCCAGACGTCTTACATTACACCTATCTGATCACAGCTCCATTAGAACCCATTTAAACACACATATAAATTTACCAGACTCCATTCCAAACATACTAGTAGAAAACACAAATATATAAACTGCATCCACCTAAAAAAAAAAAAAAAATAATGGAAAAATTTAATAAAAAAAAAAAAAAAGCAACTCCTAACAATATTAACTACGAATTTAGAGGGAATATGCTAACTGTATTCGGAAACAAAAACATCCAAACCACACACTAAAACATACACATAATGCACACACTCAATTAAACTGAACAATAAAATCATCCTTGATAACAATTATAGTAAGGTATGACTGTAGTTTTAAATTTTATAACCGTATTTAATTATATATAAAAATAAAATATATTTGATGTGTTTTTATAAAAGTGAACATTTATGAAAAAAAGAAAAAAGTCTGTTTCATCCTAATAAAATAAAGCGATTGCGTTTATATGAAAAATATATATATATATATATATATATATATATATAAATAAGACTCATCTGATATTGAGCATTTATCCCAAAATATAGAGGATCCCAAGACTAATATATATATATATATATATATATATATATATATATATATATATATATATATATATATATATATATATATATATTATTAATGAAAATGATTTCTTTTATATATATATATATATATATATACATCATTAATGAAAAAATTCCAATTTGAAAACAAAAAAAATTATTTATAAAAATTATTTATAAATGATAATATACAAATATATAAAAAAAGAAAATATATTTATAAATAAAAATTAAATCTGAATAAAAAAAATATAATATATAAAATGAGAATGAATATAAAAGAAATAAATTATAAATAGAAATCCCATAAAAATTTATATAAATTTAGACGACGTTAATATTATTTTTTAATTTTGAATAATCTACTAAAAGCCAGAATTTATAGAATTTTTATATTGGAAAATAAAAAACACATTTATTTTTTTAAGATAATCAAAAATAATTCTTTTTTGCAACAATATTCAAACTATTATTCCGAACATAATCTAAAAATTTTTGTAAAAGAAATCGATTTCCATAGTAAAATGGGAAAATAAAAAAAATAAGTCAAAAATAAATTTTTTTTTGTTTTACAGTTAAAGCTAAATATTTTAAATAAATAAATATATATAAATATATAATGAATATATATATATATATATATTATACAATTTTATATTAGAATATAAATAATGGAATTCATACAAAATCTATTTTACAATTAAATATCCATTATAATTAGAAAATATATAACATTAAAATTGATTTAAATAAATTTTTAATTTTTTAATATAATGTTATATGTTTTTTCCCAATTAATAATCCGTTTATTGTATTAAAGTTTCAAAATATTAAAAATTTATGTTTAATCTTCAAATTTAATTTTAAGATAGTCTTAAAAAGATAAAAAACAAAAGATGACCTATTGTTTTATAATACATAAGAATATTTTTTCGTAACTTTTTAAAAATTCTTAATTGGAAGTATGTTTTTCGTGTCTTAATACGACAGTTCAAAGACATTTATTTTAAACCAAAATCTAGCCTAAATTTTTAATTTATCCGTTAGCTTTGGCCTATTTTGATTAATCAAAAGATATATACCGATAATATTTAAATCTGGTTAATATAGCAAAATGTTTAGTTTTTAAACTTTAATGAGCAAACGCATTGT